TTATGACACAGAAACAAAGAAACTGCCATCATCTGTCGCGATGAAGGTGATGATTTTTACACGCCGTTTCATCAAGCTGTATCGCACACCAAATATATCTTTGATCCTTTAAAAAAAATCCTTGATCTAGCCCAGGAGTTTTCAAACCGGTCCTGGAGGACCCCCTGCCCTCCACATTTTGTATGTCTCCGTCATCTAACACACCTGATTCAACTCATCATCTTGTTAGTAGAGACTGCAAGAACTAAACTGGGTGTGTCTGATAAGGGAGACATACAAATTGTGCAGGGCTGGGGGTCCTCCAGGACAGGTTTGAAAACCACTGATCTAGCCACTCTGACTGATTTCTTATGACAGCCATCTTCATTTCTCCCAGTCTGTAATAGTTTATCTGCTGTTGCACTGATGTACAACCAATAAATATGCTTTATAAAATATTCATATTTATAAATATCATCGTCACTTATGTGTAATAAGTGTGTAATTAAATTAGTGCAGGACTGAATGTTTAAACTGTGGGGTTTTGAGGAAAATGAATAGAAACAAGTCAGAAATAAATGATATAAACAACAACAACAAAAGTTAGCTATGTGAATATCAAAAGTTTTATCTTATAAATAATTCAAGAGATCTAAATAATAAAATATCTGTACCTCACTATTTGCAGACCCAAAAGAAATCATGACAGTTAAAAATACAAAAAAAACTAGGCATTAAAAGAATAAATAATTTAACACAGCTCAAGGGTTATGCATTTAAAAAATGACATAATAACAATAATAATAATTAAGTATAGCAGTGCTTTGAATCTTGGAAACAATAGGACAGGGAAAATGTACCTTTTCTTTGTTCACTCAGATGCAGCCTTGAATCCAATAGATAAAAATATCTTCATTCTGTCTCTTGAGGTCTGCAAGATTAATATGTACTTTAACATATTTGGTAACAGTACGGACAGCTGGACCCACAAAACTGTTCCCACCTGCATTTTGATTGTCCACCACCACCATCATCATCTCCATCACGGGCAGTGACATTTGAATTGTTTTCCAGTTCAACAGAAGATAAACAAAGCTGGCATTTGGGCTGATGGGGTGTGCGTTTGCCAGTGGGGCCGATTCGGATGGCACATTTTTCAAAAGTGAAGGTGTGTGCAACACAGAAGCGACTGCTCTCAGTAAAAACTGTTATGAAAGCAATAAATCTTTCTCCTCAAGCACTTTTGACATATCCTATAAAAAAGAAAACACTACAAAAATACAATAGATTCATACATGGGCTTTTACAGTCAAGGTTATGAGTGTCTCATGAGCGACCCTGCACTTCCTTTTATCTACTATGGCTGTTTTGATAAATTAATAACAATATCCTCACACCTATGAGCAAAACAAGGTATAGCAGAACTCACTGATTGCAGCACACATATTGAAACCTCCGGTCCAGTCCTTCCTACAACAGCAGGCTTTATGATTGATAGACAAGTTTTCCTTTGAGCAGGATGGATGAAAGCACAGTTTAGTACACAACAATATGGAAAGCTTCAGTCTTATCTGACACTGAACAGATGATCCTGTCACTGCCTGGTGTTCCACATCTAAGCACAGCATGTTCTCAGCGCCGCTCCATTCCACTTCCAGTTACAGTGAGATGTGGTCCTGGGATTGTGCTGTAGCTCAGCATTC